ACACCCTCAATAATAGTTTCATTCATCCCACATTCCTACTCATCAACTCGGAAAATTTCAATTCTTTATTTCATAGATTATAAATAAAAATGAATCGCACACAATTCTTTTTCGTAAAAACAACATAAGATGATTCATGCGCATTATTTATTCATGTATCTTGCTTACAAAGCACACAATGAAAAAGAAGAATAAGACAATGTTTTCTTTTTCTTTCTTCTCAATCTTTTCCAACTAATCATCACTCTGTTTATTACCATGCAAGATATTTTTATCTTATCAGATGAAAGCAAGTAACTTTTCAAGTATTTTGTTATATTGGCCTTCACAATAAAAGGACAATAAACATAGACACAACATGAGCGACAACTATAATGAAAATTCTCATCCACAGTTGGTAGCTGTTGATTCAACAACTCCATACATTCGCTAAGCAAGTAACGTATTCAACACTCAGTGTTTGAGACAAGTCAATAAAATAGCAAATGACAAAGAAGTTCTCCTTAGTCATAATGACTGTCTACCAATGATTGGATGACACCTTTTAATCTTTTAAATAAACATGATTCATATTATAGTTTGGCTTTCACAAACGCCATGTAATATATCACACCATTGTGCATCTTTATTTGCACTATGAAACGAACTTCGAGCATTTCAAGAACAAGCACATCTTGATAGGATTTTATTTTCTTGAATATCATTCAGATGAATTAATTATCGGTGGTGCAATTATTCCTTCTATTGATAATCAAGGATATAATGGATTCGATATTATCAGAGAGATTCTTTATATATGTGTTCAATTACTTATTACTCCACAAGAATTAATTTTCAAACAAGCGCTTTTAGACAATAATAAATCAAAAAAAGATATGCAACAAGCTATGAATCAATTTTGGAATTTATATGATGAAGAAGTACAAAAGAGATTCGATGAATTTTTTAGATATTCGTTCGAATGTTATTTATTTAATTTTGAAAAAAATATAATCATTATATAGAAATGATAAATCTTATTTATATTTGATACAAAAATATACAGATATTTATAGTGTTTGATCAAAAACAGAATGCGCTTGATAAAGCATGTCAACTCAAAAGTTTAAGTTTTTGTATCGAGTTTATTCTTTTCAATGTTTTATTATTAGATACAAAAGAAAGAAAAAATTATTTCATTGCATCATCAGGCATGAATTCGGATAGATCAGCGACAATTTCTTCGATGATTGTGTGTTTAACTGTTGAGTTAGAATCAAACATAAATCTCAAAAATTCATTAGTCGAAATAAAGTTAAAAATAGAATTGATTCGCTCATGACTTTTTTGTGTCAGATTATTTCCAATGATTTCGTGGATTAACTGTTGACAATTTTTAAGTCTACATTTGAGTAAGAGTCGAATGCACATCGAATTCAGTTTATTGAGTTCAACAATGATTTTAAAAATTAAATGACATTCGAACATCAATTTGTTCAGTAATCGTACGCCATTGGGACTGAATAAAATAATTCCCTTTTCATAGAGTACTTGAGATTTCATTCCTGATTTTATTATCATTTCTAATAATATGTCTGCTATTTGTTTATTTGAAAAACCTTCTGCTAAACGATGAAGATTGTTGAAAAGTCGATCGAATGGTGTAGAGATGCAATATTCTGCAATATATTTATTTGAGAAGAATCTAAATGAGTAAAAAAAATGAATTTTACATATTTTCTTGATTATGTTTAGCAATGAAATACTCTTACTTGCATATATATTTTTCAAAACCAATACTAAGACTTTGGGCTGTTGTATTAGTGACATGATTTGGAAATAAATTTACGGTTATGTGCACCATGTTGCTATTATTTTTTTCCGATACTGAGACAATGTATTATTAACAATAAATGCAAAAGAAACAGACTATTAAAGTGCGTTTCTTTTATATTTCGTACAAGCTGAGCTTATGAACGAAAATCTATGCACTGCAATCTTTATTATATATACGAGGATATGAATCATATTATCTTATCAGATCATTGCATCAATTACAGCGTTCTGATGTTTTTCCTGCGGAGGAAGTCTTTATTGGAAAAAACCAACACGGGAAATTTCGAAAAAAGATAAAGAAAATATCTATATATGGAAGTTTTCCTTATTTTTTTTCGACATTTGCCACCAAACCCTCCACACCCACTCCCCTAAAGAATATACTAGAACGAAGCAGAATATGAGACGTACGCTCATCAGAGCGGAAGTGATGTCACATGGATATACAGAGAACTATACAGAAAGGATGACGTAATAATGCTGCGACATATATGTGTGCGCTGTCAACAAAGCGTGAATAATGTAATTTCTATTTTTTCTCTTTTTTGATTTTTGATGCGCTTATTTTTTTTATCTTGTGATCGTTATCTCACACTGAAGGCGGAAGGGTATATATATAATAAACAATAATAATATATTGTATCAGTATCAAAGAAAATAATAACAACATGGGGCAAAACTTTTCAAAGTTATTTTCAAATCCTGACACAAATACAACAGCAAAAAGTCGTAGTGTTCGTTTTCAAAAAAAAATATGCAAGTATGAGTATTTTATTACTAAACATAATCAACATAATCTGTACAATCTATTTTGTTTGCTTATTAGAATAAAATCAAACAAATATATTGCAAAGTGTTTCATTTCTACACCCTTCGATCGACTTTGCAACAATCTGCATCGTTTAGCAGAAGGTTTTTCGAACAATAATCAAATAGCGGACAGATTAATACAAAAAATAATAAAGTCAGGAAAAAAATGTGAAGTACTCTACAGTAATCGAATTATTTTCTCTGGTGTAAATGGCGAACAATTACTGAGGGAATTGCGTGATAAATTTAACAAAATTATTGATATCATTGTTAACCTGCATAATTCAGATTCCATGCTCGTTCGACCCACATTGCTAAATAGAGTCTTAAACAAGGCGGAGTCCATACTTGTTGATCCTGTCCTCATATTTGCACTTGAAACTGAACTCGATAATTGTCAAAGGTTAATTCGCGAAATTACTGGAAATCATCTAACACAAAAAAGCCATCGACGAATCAATTTCATTTTTGATTTTATTTCAGCTAAAAACTTTTTGGCCTATGCATTTGATTCTAAATCAACACTTAATCATGATATCATCGTAGAAATTACCGCTGATTTACGTGCATTGATGCTCAATTTTGTAATCAGAGAATAATTTTTTTTCTTTTGTATCTGATATTTAAACTCGATACAAAAACTTAAAATTTCTAGTCTACTCACGTTATCAAGCTCATTCTTTTTTTGATTAAACACTATAAATATGTGCATATTTTTGTATCAAATATAAATAAGATTTATCATTTCTATATAATGATTATATTTTTTTCAAAATTAAATAAATAACATTCGAACGAATATCTAAAACTTCATCGAATCTCTTTTGTACTTCTTCATCATATAAATTCCAAAATTAACTTTTAGTTTGTTGCATATCTTTTTTTGATTTATTATTGTCTAAAAGTGCTTGTTTAAGAATTGATTCTGACCAACTACGAATATACGATGTTAATAATCGAATAAAGTCAGATTTAATTACAGTTACATAGTCGATAAAAGGAGCTGGTGTGATACACGACAAAACGAAAAAGATGATGCTCTTCGCGGGACTTGAACCACGCATCTCCTGCTATCCGGGCAGTCGCACTACCATTATACTAGAAGAGATCACTCTCTCTCGTCTTAGATCATCACCTTCATATGCATGATCTAACAATTACATCAGGTATAATTCTTGTGGAGGATTAAGTGATTCAGGACATATATAAAGAATTTCTCTGATAATATCAAATCCATTGGATGCTTGATCATCAATAGAGGGAATAATTATACCACCGATGATTAATTCACATGAACAATATTCAAGAAAATGAATGTAATCAAGATGTGCTTATTCTTGAAATGCTCGAAGTTCATTTCCTACTACAAATAAAGATGCACAATAATGCGATATATTGCATGGTGTTTGTAAAAGCCAAGGAAGTGAAGTCGATGAATAACCGATTGAAAGAGAATTTTAAGGTAAACACAATTCATAGAAAGATCGACCATTAGCTAAACTGTAATATGAATCATGTTTATTTAAAAGATTAAAAGGTGTCATCCAATCATTGGTAGACAAGTCATTGTGACTAAAGAGAATTTCTTTCTCATTTGCTATTTTATTGACTTGTCTCAAACACCGAGTGTTGAATACGTTACTTGCTTAGCGAATGTATAGAGTTGTTGAATCAACAGCTAACAGCTGTGGATGAGAATTTTCTTTATAGTTGTCGCTCACTTTGTTTCTATGTTTATTATTGTCATTTTTATTGTGAAGAACAATATAACAAAATACTTGAAAAGTTACTTGTTTTCATTCCCATAAGATAAAAATATGTTGCATGGTAATAAACAGAGTGCTGATTAGTTGGAAAAGATTGAAAATGAAGAAAAAGAAAACATTATCTTATTCTTTTTTTTCGTTGTGTACTCTGTAAGCAAGATGCATGAATAAATAATGTGTATGAATCATCTTATGTTTTTTTTACGAAAAAGGATTGTGTGTGATTCGTTTTTATTTGTTTAATGTCACAAAAATATTAGAAATTTTTCTTACACTTCTTTTTTTGAGGGTGTGGACATGGTTGTATGAATATTGTTAATCTCCGCCTAAATGAACACACGCTCACACCCAGTTTATAAATAATATTTTTAGAGATGAAAACTACACTGACATGCAATTTTATTAATATGAGAATTGTTTTCAGAAGCAATACTTTCGAAACTTGTGAGATTTTTTCTCAATATTTTCATCGATCATTCAAAACTAAAGTTGTCAATGAAGACACGTGGATGCGAGTGTACGTGAAGATGAAGAATAAATTATCGCCTATATCTCGAGTGTTCTTCGTTTGTCAACAGATTAAAAATAGTGTCATTATAAGTTCATCAAGTTTGTCTTCCATTAGTTGATAGTGTATGCAAAAAATTTGGAAAATGATCTATTCGAAAATAATGAAGAAATATTGATTATTGATGTATTAATCGTCGCCATCGTCTGAATGATTCTTGAAATGTTTTTCTGTACAAGGCTGAAGGAAGGACAAAGACAATAAAGATAAGCATCGATGGAGTAAATGAAATGAAATAACCAAAAATAAATAATAATCGATGGTTAGATGGATTGACACATTCAGATAACATTGACATAATCAGACGGGGTAAAGACAGAATTAGAAGAATAACTGGACTAATCAATAATTGTTTGTGTTCACTAAATTGATTATAAACATGTTCTCTCAGAGTTTGTCTTGTCTGAGCTGTTGATCGTTGTCGCGCTGATCCAAATATGATGAATAAAGCAGAACAAAGATTGATAATACATGGACCAACAAGATGGAAAAATAAGATGATTGTATTGTATTGTTGAATAGCAGGAGAATAACGAGTTAAACACCATCTATTGATATCCACTTTATCCGTTTCTGTATTTACCTCGTACAATTCTCGATGTATAGGTTCATGAATGATTGAACCCATGACACAGAATGGTAAGATGGCAATTATCCATCGAGCAATGCATTGACTTTTCTGTTTATTGAATTTAATTCCTTTGAAAACGAGAATCGCTCTTTCAATGGCTACACAAGCATTGAGCCAAGCATCCAAATATAGACAAAGTTTGAGAAGTGGTTCGATTGATATACAACCTCCTCGGACAACAGAAAGACGAACTGATAGATTCATTTGAGTGAGAACAACAAACCAAAACTTCACTGTAAACATGCTAATTGTAAGAAAAGAAGTAATTGATGATGCTAAGAGATAGATGCCACATCCAGCTTGTCGTAGATCCTTATTTTGAAATGTTATTAGAGACAACACACTATTGATAAAACCTCCAACAAACATAATCATCGTCACAGCAGCACTCATTTTCATCAATACTGTTTGATCAGTCATTGTCATATTCGGTCGAATTTCTTCACGTAAAATGTCATCAAGAGTGACACCAATACTTTTTTTGTAGAACTGACATTTTTGACCAATGAAACAACTGGTCAGATTTTGAGCTAAAGAAAGAGATTCATAGGTATTAAGAGATGAGATCAATTTTTCTCAACTTAAAAAAATCATGTTGGGACAAGTTTATAAGAATCAATAGTTTATGAAAGTCGTTTATCTACACATTGTATATGCAGTCGAGATTAAATTTCTATATTGCTATTTTCTGTTCAATATCTCATGATGAATTGATTCAGTTTTATAAAGATATTTGTGCATATAAACTCGATAAATTTTGAAAGACTACAAAGTAATAAGATTTCAGATAATGAAATCACTAAATAATGGGCCTTTTGGAATATAACGTTGATTCGAGAAGAAAAGTTGTCTCTTACAGTTAACCTATTCGCGACTAAGCTACAATACTGAGAGTTAATCTTTTCTGATTGAAAGAAAACTGTTCATTTTTAAAAGAAAGAGTTCCGATTTGATTCTATTTTTAAGCAATAGTTCTAATGAATTATACAATCTATTTAAAATAGGGAGATTTTTTTATTACTCAAGAGTGGAAATGGAGTCCAGTGGGATTTTTGTACTTCGCTGTTAATGATTTACAAAATAATAGAAAATACTTACTGTGAGGATTAAGAGTGATATTATTTGGACCGGATGTTCGAACGATAAAAAGTCCTGTCATATTCGGTGAAGATGTTGTCACCACTAATATGTATGTAGTATCAGTGTGAAGATAAGCGATGAGCCTGACGTTTTCATAATTACAGGCTTGATAATCCCGTTTGAGTAGATTCTCGGAAGGATCCATTGGGTTAAAGTCATCTTTATAAATATCAACAGATGTATCTTTACTGCTAGAACTAGTAAGAGCATAATAACCAGTTTCTATCACATTCATTCGTATAGTTTCATAGTAATAATTTGATTTTCGACAATCTCGAGAATATGTTTGACTATTCGTAGTCAACGCTGATAAATAGTTCGATTGTACTGCTGACGAATATTTCAATCGGATGACTGGTGGGTAATCTATATGATGAAAACAAAAATAACAGCTAACATTCGTGATAAATCTTGATTGACTAAGAGAAAGACGAATTTTCGGGTTGTACAAAAGAAAATTGGGCATCATAAGTCGTCTCTCATATACCCTGAATATCGGAGGGCATATCAAAACTGAGCCTATATTTCTGAAGAAATCGATTCTTCATAATCTCTTTTTCAATGAAATAATTGAGCTGCAAATAGAGAGTGAAAATAGAATCTATAAACATATTTTTGTACTCAAATCCTCGATAATATGTAGTAGATGAGTTTCAAATAATTATTTCATTTCAGAAATTGATGGTATCCCAACGTTTTAGATAGAAGAAATTCTTTATTTATAGTCTAATTTTGCTACTGTTGCAATTAATTCAAAAATTAAAGTGCGTCAAGATGCCTTTAAGATTCATAAAAAGTAAAAATATGTTTATATTTTTTATCTGCGATAAATTGTATACATATGTTTGCAGCATTTGTTTTTCTTATGGGAACATTGAGTGATAGAGTGGGTTGTGATAATTAGCAAAAGTTTTTTTCGTTTTATGGTCATGAATAGGGATTCATGTCGATTTTTATATTATTTACATCAGGCTAGTGATCGATTGAAACAAATCCCTGTTCAAGAAGATTGTATTGTTCCTATTCATAATATTCTGTTATTTGATGATTTTAATGTAGCTGTTTGTGTAAAGCTCTCTTCTTATAGTAAAAATATTATCTTACAAAAGAAGCCTTTGTTTGTGAATATGCCAAACTCAACTAAATTCTCATATTAAAGTTGCTAGATATTCAGTAGATAGATGTAATCCATATACTTACTAATATATTTGAGATCAACGATGTCTGAGCCAGATACAAAGATCGAGAATGCACCTGTCACATTGGAGTTATATGTTGTCACAACAAATATATATTTGATACTAGACTCAAGAGCAATTGTGAATTTAAACTGTTCCTGATTGCAGCTTTTATCATCGGATGAAAGTAGATTTTCCCTTGGATGGGTTGGATTGAAATATTCTTTGTAAATAGAGCCGTATGTGTCCATACTACTTTTACTGAAGAAAGTGTAAAGACCACTTCTGATGACATTCACTTGCATCGCTTCATAGTAATTTCCTGGCTCTGAACATCGCCAAAGAAAATACATTGAACTATTTGTTGCCAATTCTGATGCATAAGTTGTTTGAACAACTGATGAAGTATTCACTAATAAAAAGAGAATCAATTCAGTTTTGTATCATATGAAAATATGTGTAAATAATTTGAAATTTTATTTTTACATGTCGGATGCAATTACCGAAAGCGAATGAAAATGATATGAATGATGATATAAATAAGAATCACTATACTCTCACTTTCAAGATGGTAGTAAATACTTTGTGATATCATTCATATCTCCAGTTATAGAGAGAACATTAATTTTGTTACATCCTGCATAGAATATCGATAATATGAAGATCATGCCATCAGAAAACTGTGAGTACGAATCTTATTCTCAATCGAACAGAGATATCTAAAAATAATTTTTTAAGGGTATGGGTTTTTATCTATATTTTCTATTGATAATGAATATGTACAGTTGATTATCCATTAAAATACTATAGATACTCACAAATACGATTAAAACCGATATAGCCTCGGCCCGATACTTGAATTGAAAAGTTTCCTGTTACATTTGAAGAAGATGTCGTCGTAACAAAAATGTATTTCATATTGGCTTGAAGAACAGCTGTGAGTTGGAACTGACTTTGAATACCGAACGCTTCATTATCGATGAGTACATTTTTGGACACATCGAATAGGTCGAAGTTATTTGTGTAGATATAACCGTACGTGTTTTTCATCTCGCTGTTGATCAGAAGAGTATAAGTGCTAGTTATGGTAATGTTCATTTGTATCGCTTCATAATACGAATATGACTCTGAACAATCTTGGAAATAAGTTAAACTATTCGACGTCAGTGCTGATGAATACACTGATTTTACAACTGATGAATTATCTATTGAATGAAAAAAAATCAATAAATATTTGCATTTAGAAGAATAGAAAAATATATGATTATCCATATTCATAGTTTGATTTTCACTCTATGTTTACAGATGATCATTTAATTGATAATCATAGAAGCATTTTTTAACAAAGAAATGAAAAAAAGATGTGAAATTAAATATCTACTTAGCGTCCATGCAGTAAACAACCATGTTAGTCCTTAGATCTGTATGTTCTTTCCAAGATATATTGTAATAATTTGAATTATGAAATGTTATAAAAGCTCATATATAAAAATGAGTATCGTTTCAGACTTTCAAATATATAATTTTTTGAATATCATCTTTATTTCAAACTTTTCTTCTTTCATAAATACAATGTATGTCATTTTCATCCTAATTTCCTAGGATAGTTTTTCTTTTTAATTTTCTCTGAATAAATATTGACTGAAATGATATTGAAGATTTTATTCAATCACTATAAACTTACCACACGATTCTTCCAAATATTGAAATTTTTGAATCCGATGATTTCCTGAATCAGTAACAAACATGTTTCCAGAACGATCAGAACTAAAACTAAATGCATTATGCAATTGATTGGATTGTGAACCCACTCCATAACGTCCAACTAAACATCGAAAACCATTCAAGTCTAATATAACAATTTGATGAGTGCCATAATCCAAAATGAATAAGTACTTTTCAGCATCTAATATAATTGCAGTTGGATATTGGAGTTTAATTGTTGAATTTGATGCGTCATTTCCAGCCACTGTGATGCCATTTGATTCTCCTGACTGAAACAACTGAACTCGATGATTTCCACAATCTGCCACATATAAATCCAAATTCACATCGACAAAGATTCCACGAGGAAGATTAAGTTTATTCGAGGCTGATCCTCGAATACCCGTTCCAGCAGCAACACGATTTGAAGTCATTACAGAGTCATTTAATGATCTTTTCACAACTTGATGATGATTATACAGTGAACAGTAAAGAGTATCATTGATATCGACAAACAAACCGTAACATGATGAGTTGACATTCATCACTATGACAAAGTTATTTGTTTCTGTACGCCATTTCTGTACTAGACCATTCTCATGCCCATCATCAATATAGATATCACCATTTGATGTCACGAACAGAGAATTAGGTTGTGTAAAATTACCATAAATGATCTTTTTTGGATTGACATTCTCTTCGTACCATATTAGGACTGTATTATTTTCTCTATTAGTGGCATAGAGTGTGTTATTTCTGTTCACAAAAATGGCGCGAGGTATAGAACCAACAACTGATCGATTAGCAAAAGTAATTCCATTGGAATTCCACTTGGCTGTTGGACAAAACTTTAGCTGATTGAATGAAAGTGCTAAAAACAAGTAAAGAGAAAAAATTTGAAGAAATGAATTTGTTAATTTATGTTAGTTTTTCGAAAAATTTGCCAAGATTAATTTTAAAAGCATCTCTATGGTTGTTGTATTTTCTCAGATGAAATGTGAATATCAACTAAGAGACGAATGAATTTATCGAAAAAAATTAGTTTACTTTACCTTTTTCAAATGATGATTAAATCTAATGAAACACTTTCTCTTCTTTTTTTATCTCTCATCATTTGCGCTTGAATATTTTGAAAAAAGTTCAATCATCATTGGTCTCTTCAGGGACAAGAAACGTTTATATGTATTTTACCTTTAATTCATGTGTGATTTTACTTAAGAATATTCTTTTATCATATTCTAGTGACAAAAATGCAAGGGGACAGCAGAATCCAGTCCCTTGGATTCAAATGGATTCTTTTGGTTCCCCCTTGGATCAGAACCATCACCTTTGAATAAATGAGAAGGATCCTACTAAATACGTTCTACGATCTGTGATTGGACTTTCTTCTGTTTAACTACAACTCTAATGGACAACATTGCTTGTGCAATGGCTGATGTTCAATATGTGATAAATAAAAGTATTTACCTGATGTTTCATTATTGAGAATAAATAAAAGAGTAATAATAAATACATAGATATTCCACATCTTGCAACAAGATTTGCTCTGTGATGAAATTAGTCGACTGATGAAATAGTCTTCTTTGTCTTCAATAAAAACAATGACACGCATTGTAGATTTACTCTCTAGTTTTATCTCTCTCTTTTTCTCTCATTCATTTCTTCTAGAATATCAAAAAGAGAAAAAATAGCGTTGTAAAGAGGGTTTAATTGTAGATAAAACAAAGAATTGATTCCAGGTTTGAATAACAACGAGACTTGGTCATATGACTGAACATTTGCAGATGAATTTCATTGTCTTTGAAAGTACAAAATGAAATTTAAATTCCAAATAATCATTTTCTTTTTTTTATTTGATTGAAAAATCTTTGATTTTAGTGAAGAAGAACGTGCTAAAGAGCAAGAAGAATTAATCAAAATCTACCTAAATCATCGAACGTGTCTTAAGGGCCCCCCCCCCGGGTCAAAAAATTTTTTTTTTCCAGAGCACTCAATCTTAGTGAAATTTTTACTGAATATGTATCCGACCTTGGATAGTCTTCAGTAAAAAATTGAGCTCATAATATAGAGTTTTGCACGAGTTATCCTAATATTAAGGGTCAAAAGTAGGTCTTCGTAGTTCCAAGATTTTCTTCGCAGTTTTAATGATATCGATCTCGGGATAGCGCTAAAATGTGCAGAACACTTGTCTCTACAACCTAACAAAGCCGGTTTCTTGAAAAAAAAGAAAGTGTTTCCTGAAAAAGGTTTTTGGAAAAACTTGAGGTTATCTCTTTAGAAAACTCGATTTTTTCATAACGAACTAGGGTGAAAACAGAAATTCCGGCTTTGTTAGGCTCTAGTACTGAGCTTTAGCTTTATTTTGAAACCTTCCCGAGCGTTCTAGCGCTCAAAATGGCGGAGAAATCTTGGAAATACGGACAGACAAAACATAAAAAACACTTTCGAGAAAAACGCAAAACAAGTTTTTACTTTGATTATCGAAATTTTTCTTCTAAAAAACTTGATATAGAGAAAAATTCAAATAGTTTCAATAATCGAGGTTTTTGAAAAAAAAAAATTTTTTTGACCCCGGGGGGGCCCTTAACTAAAAATAAGATATCATCTATCATCGTCAATAAATGATTGACGTCAATGAATAAGTCATGACTAGTTTGATGTCTTTTTTTGTTTGACTCTGTTCAATAATCTGCTTTGTTAGGACTCGTTTTTAATCACGTTCTTTATTTCTCTATGCGCAATAAGTATCTATGAGGAAAATGTTCTCCTTTGAATATTTCAATCTGTTTTTAATGGAAACTGATCAGATATATAAAAAATAAAAATATCCATCACAACGCAATGGATTTTTCTGAAGGACAACATGAAAATACATGAATTCTACTATAAATTCAATATTTGTAAGAATAATACTCTGACAATGGATGCATTTTATCAATTAGTAGCAATAGTTTTATTCAAACATAATTACAGTCGTGTAACTCAAATCAATAATTTAATATTTCTTAAAATCCGACGGCGACGAGTCGGTCGTGTGAGTGAGTCAAAAGGCGATGATCAACCTCACCCAGCGCAATACGAACTGATCTATTCATTGGTACAATTCTGTAGCAGAGTTAAATGTTTCTCAATATTTTGGAATATCTCTCGAACCGTCCGACTGAAAATATTTAATTCCATTTTGTTGATAGCAAATCTGAGAATGAGATTAGCAATTGATCATGACTTCAACAGAAACAAAGCTTCTATCCCATATCGTTCATGACCTACTTTGTTATTGATACATTATTCCCGTTGATGCTATGAGCGATCGAGAAACTTATCAACAAATAGAAAAAATTCATGAACTTGAGAAGTAGTTTTTTGATTAAAAAGGAATATTTTAAAATTAAGATTGAAAGAAATAGACAATGTTGATAATTAAAGTGGTATCAGATCGGTTTTTACAAAACTCTCAGCATTGTATTTTCTGATATGTCCAAACAGAGATCTTATTATATATTGATATGAGATTACTTATGTATTAAAATTTTTTTCAAGTATTATACCAACATTCATTATTACATGATAAGCATAGAGCTACGTCCATTTCTAACATTGTTTCTTTCTATCTACATCATTCTTTAGTCGTTTGAAACGAAAGCGACGACCATACATAGATAAGGATAACAATAGAAAAAAAAGTAGTCATCGATCATTTCTCATTCTTTCCCCTTTTTTTGTTTCTGTTTGCGCTTTCTTCCTTGACCGTTTCGCCTCACTAGCGATAGATAGTCGATCAGCGTTTAATTTTCTCTCTTCGTTTTCTTATTCGTTCGCCATTATTCAGTTTCATGCTTTTAAACTAAAGCACGAATGAGTAGTCGTTCCATTATGTATAGTTCATTTATCTTCGCGAATGTTGTGAATAGCTATTTTTGCACGAGCACGCATACTAAATAGCTCTTTTTATCAATGATAAGTGACGATGAATGATTTGTGAAGATTTTTGGCGTTAGGAATTTTCGAATGTTATGTCGATAGTATCGAATAATTTGAAATTACTATCATTATATTTTCTTCTTTCTTATTTATTTTAGGTATAATTTTTACTAATAAATTCGCGCACATCGATACTGAAAATACAAATTTTCTGTAAAATATAGTATGTACACCAAGGAGAGTTTTTATTTATTTTGAACTAAGTCGTCTAGGACGACTTTGTTGGTACAGTGTACAAAGATTTGTGATTTTGTATTAGTGTGTATACAAATCTGATTAAACAATTTGAAATTAATTTTATCTACAACAATTTCATACGAATTTATTAGCTCCACATCTCAATATACTTTTTTTAATATCCCCATCAAGGATACGGATGGTATGGGATAGACTTTTCGTCCCACAGGTCGATGCAACTCATCCCATTCCATGGGACTCATTACAAAAAATATTTCTCCCGTTCCATGGAAGTCCTTGAAAGATAATATCAATCCCATCCTATGGGACTCATTGAAAAATAGTATCTATCCCATCCCATGCAAATTCCTAATCCCCACACTTCCCATATCCCTGATTTCTTGGATATATATATAATACTGTTGATCGCTCCTCATAACAATAAATCGAGTATCCTCGCACATATTATCAAGACTTCTATTGAATAACTTTTATAGGAGTGATCAAATTCTGATTGTTCATACACTTACATTTTTTTTTATTGCAGATTATTTGTGAACGAAATTCAACAAAGATACATCATCGAAAAAGATAGTTGAGGTATGTGGAAAAGTTTAACATTTGTATTATTATCATTTGTCATTGGTGAGACATTTTGTGGACCAGTACGTCGAAAAGATCCAAACAAAATACATAGTTTAAAGTAAGCTATTGTTTTTTAACTAATTAATTTGTATTTATCTTATGCAGTTCACTATGTCATATATTGAATTATGGAGAATTTAATGATCGTGGTATAAAGACATTTACACTGAATAGTCCTAATGAACCCATCAAGAAATACCAAACTGGATACAGAAATCGAGTGGAATACGTTCGTGCAGGTATGATTGTTCTTCATAGTATTCTGAATTTTCAATCAGCTAATATTGGTATGGAGAGTCAGAGTACCTTAAAATCTCTTGATTTTCTGACTTCTAGGAGTGAGTGTACAGTAGCTTGACTTTATAAATGTTACCTCCAATTCCTGATTGTGAGAAATAGTTTCGAATGATGTTTTGGAGTTATAGTTTTTGAAATGCTTTATTTATTTTATTTTATTGAACATAGTCATTACCGTTCAAACTGTACAGAGCAAAGGTTCAACAACCAATGACGCTACTCGAAAATTTGCACGGGCAATGGGAAAGCCAACAGATGATGCTGGTCATATTATTGGGAATAATTTAGGTGGTACTGGTCGAAATGTCTATAATATTTTCCCACAAAGTCCTAA